TATTCCTAACAGAGTACAGCATGAATAAAGAAAAAAGGCAAGAAATAGCCTGGTGTGGCCACGAAATTTAATGCTGCTGGAACACAGAGTTGAGGCAGAAGTGATGAGTGATAAGGCCAAAGCGGGGAGGGCAGGGCAGAGGTCATGAGGACACAGCTTAGACTTCATCCCACAGGCAGCGGGGAGTGCAGAGAAGAGTTTAAAATCAGGTGATGACATCACCAGAGATTATTTTAGTGGCACTAAAAAGGATGGATTTGAGGGAGACAAAAATTGGAGGAAGCAACACTTACGAGGCATTTGTACAAGTGAGTAATAGATTTGTATTTATATTTAATAATCATAGCTAACATTTACTTAGCATTTATTACATGACGGTTACTAAATAAACATTATAATGCAACATTGTCTTAATATTTCAAACAACCCTATGAATAAACACTATTGTTATCCTCGTTGTACAGCTAACGAAGCAAACAGTTAAGTAACTTTCCCAAGGTCAGGGCAGTCTGGCACCAAAGCCTATGCTCTTAATCACTATCCCATAGGTTTAATTTCTGTTTTTGCATTAGAATGGAAGCTCCATGCAGACAGGGACCATATTGTTGGTGTTCTCCACTGTGCCTACATGACAGGTACACAGTAACTATTTGTTGAATAAAATCAATGAATAACCTAAGCGGAAGAAATAGTGGACTAAATTATGTATAGGTACAAGAAATATTTTGGATGCAATAACGGCAATTTTTTTTGCAGACTTTATTCCTAATATTTGGCAGACTTTGGTGGTTGTTATAGACGAAATGTTTGTGTCCCTCCCTTCTCTAAATCCATATATTGAAATCCTAAATCCCACTGGGCTCCTAAGGAAGTAATTAAGGTCAAATGAGATCATAATGGTGGGGCTCTAATCCAACAGTTAGGTGTCTCTATAAAAAGAGGAGAGACCAGAGTGTGTTCTCTCTCTCCCCCCAGGAAAGGTCAGGTAAGGACATAAAGAGAAGGTGGCCCTCTGCAAGCCAGAAAGAGGCTCTGAGGAGAAAGGACTTCATGCTTCCATAACTGTAAGAAAATAAGTTTCTGTTGTTTTAGCCACCCAGTGGATGGTGTTTTGTTATGGCAGCCCTAGCAGAATAAGACAGTGATTAGGAGGATGAGAGTAGATGGTGAAGGACAGGTTTCTATACCAGGAGACTAGAAGGGCGGTGGTGCCACTAATAGGGGTAGAGAACCCAGGAAAAAGAAGAGGAGTGATTGATTATGGTCAGTGGAACAAACAACACTAATTATTTTGCACTTAGGGTTCACCTCACTCAAATATAGAAATATAATAGAAGCCATTAGCTATTTAAATCCATTTATTCAATAAATGTTTATCCGTGCCCCAGGCATGGTGGCCACTGTGCTTATCTCGAGGACATAAACTAAATAAAATTCATTCTCTGCCCTCAAGAAACTCACAGTCCAGTGGGAAAAAAAAATATTGTTCCCTTTTGTTAAGCTAGCATGCTAGCTAGAAAGACTATTTTCCTTCTCACTTCAAAAGACCTGGAGTTCATAAGTATAGAGATAAAATCCCATATGGACAAGAGCTTTGCAGTCACATGAACTGGATTTGAATCTTGGCCTTGGAATATACTAGCTGAGTGGTGACTTAGGTAGGCCAATAACCCTTCTGGGTCTTAGGGTCTTTGTTTTTAACTGCAGAGTTGTTTTAAGGACAAGAGAAGGTAGGTAGAAATTTTTATAAAATGCAATACGCATGTTAGCAATTACTGTCGTAAGAGCTACATTTCTAACCTGCAGAAATTAGAGGTGAGTCAGCCATGGACAGCAAGTCAGAGGTGAAAGGCAAGCTTTGAACCCTGTGGGCGACAAGAGTTCGAGGATGGAGGATGGAGTAAGACTGGGCTAATGGGAAATAGAACAGGCTTTGGAGTTCTACAGACCTAGTTTAAATCACAATTCAGTCAGTTATTAGCGATGGAAAGCTGAGTAAGTCATGAAATTGCTCTGAGCTTTAGTTTCTTCATCTGTAAGATGGAGTTAATAATACCTACCCAGAGGGTTGTTCTGAGTATGTAAAGGGCTTGGCATGGTGCCCAGCAGAGTTGTCGCTCAATTAATGGTTAACTGTTGTTCCTATTAACATTATTATTTCCCTCTCCTACCTCCTAAGGGGTTTGTTTAGGTGATGAAGTAACTTGAGATTCAAAGAAGTGAGGGGCATGGAAGGGCTTTTATGACTTAGTTAAAAAGTTATTTTTAAAGGTAAAAAAAAAAGTAGTCCAATTCAGTTTTCCTCTCCTAACCTAGGGTACAAACATAACTCTTATAGAAAATGACCACTGTTTTATATGACCTGGAGCCAGAAAACACCCATCTTGATAATTATTCCTTGTATTTATTTTTATCTTAAGTAAATCTACCAATCACTGTTAATAAGGGTTCTCTGAAGGCAATGCTTCTCAAACTTTAATGTACACATGCATCATTCAGAGGCTTGTTAAAATGCAGACTTTCATTCTGTGGCTTTAGAGTGAGCGTGAAATTCTGCATTTCTAAAGAGCTCCCAGATGCTTCTGGTTCACGGATCACACTTTAAGGACGAAGCAAAGCTCTAAAGGGATGTGGATATATCTTTTTTGGCAGGGTGCTCACTGTAATGGCCTGCTTTTCTTTAGTGATCTACCTATTCATAAACTGACTATGAATAGAACACTAACAAGCATTTTTTCAGACCAGATTTAGAAATTCTGCAACAGGACTCATTTCGGATCAACATCAATATTTTTTTGAGCAGTCAACTATGTACAAGGCACTGTAAGCTGGGGCTACAAATGTTAGTAAGACACAATTCTTGCTTCTGAAGATGCCCTTATTCTAACACCGTATGCCCTTGTAGACTGTATGCCCTTTCTGAGGGCAGTCTTACTGTTTCCTCTGTTGCCTAACAGTACATAGATGGTCAATAAATACTAAATGAATGAATCAATGAGTTCATAGGGGTTTCATTAAAAATGTCTTCTGGCAGCACATGTCAATGAAAACACTATCTTAACTTATACATGTAAGAGGTGGTTAAGTTCAACTAAGGCTGATAGGGTGGGCTCTAATACAATCTGCCTGGTGTCCTTATAAGAAGAGGAGATTAGGACACACAAGAGAGCCTCCAGGGATGAGGACACAGTGAGAAGGTGGCCATCTGTAAGCCAAACAGAGAGGCCTCAGAAGAAACCGAATCTGCTGACACCTTGATCTTGGACTTCCAGCTTTCAGAACTGTGAGAAAATAAATTTCTGGGTAGGGTCCCCCTACCCAGTCTGTGGTATTTTGTTATGGCAGGCCTAGCGAACAAATACATATTTTCACAGCTTTTATGCCCAGATCCAAGATTCCCTCCTAAGGGCTGCAAAATGGAAAACTAATTCTAAGAGTGGGTGGATGAACCTCAGAGTGCAGTGGGAACCAGTCATGCAAGGACTAGGGGCGGACAGACAGAAGAGAGTGACAGTAGCTCAGACTGGGCAAAAACAGCTGTTTCCTCCCCTTCTCATGATACCAACACAAAGTGTCAGGTTATTCTCTCCCCAAATCTGAAACTGAAAGCAGTGTTTTGACTTTTTCCCTTTGGTAGCAGGAAGATCTCAGATTTCTCTCTGTACGCGAAAAGCTAAAGAGTTCCTGTGATGATAAAGCAATGAAATTGAATTTTTGATAAACAAAAACAAACAAACAAACAGACAGACAAACAAAAAACACAGTCAAATCCGGGACCTGCTAGTCACAGGAAGCATGATTTTAAAGTGAGGGAATGACTTTTTTTGTTGTTGTTTAGTTTAGTTTTTAATAAACGTGCCAACTCATATGTAGAGATGAGTGCCTCCTTCAAAATAATCACTTTGGAAGGTTCTACCTTTTCCTAACCATGTCACTGTCCTCAAATCATTTCTGAAATTGCTTTCAGGGTCTGTGAGATAGTCTTCTGAATGCTTTCAATGGTGAATCTTGAAGGTGGATTTGATTTTCAAAACAACCAAGGGTCCTTCTGGGTCAACTCTGGTTAACTAGGGGAACCAGTCAAACTGTGGAATGCCAAGAGGATTGACCCTAAAGTACCCAGGCTGATTTTTCTTGAATGAATTGAACACAACCCCAGAAGACAGTTTCCAAAGACAAACCCCAGACATGTAGTAAACATGTTACAAACATGATAACAAGAGGAGGGGATGGTGATTGCTCTGAAGGGAACTCCATTTATTTGGATATGCAAGTTTTCTAGTGGGTCCCTTTACCTGAATATTTCCTCAGGTCCAGATTTATCTTACCTCATGGGACCACAGTTCCCAGAACAAAGACCTCACTGCCTTAGTCAATTTTTAATCTCCAATCTGGGTACTTGATGGGTGGAGTGAACAGCTGATGGAAAATTAAATAGCGGGGAAGAAAGTCTGAGATGCCTGGGGCTTACTCTGTGTGATTCAAAGGGCAGAACTAGGACTCAGAGAGAAGTTCCTGAGAAATAAATTTCTGCTCCATGTAAGAAAGACATTGTCAGCAGCTGGAGCTGTCCAGCAGTGGAGTGAGTCTGCCCTGCAAATAGCGAGCTTCTAGTCCTGGGAGGAATTTAAAACAAAGACTGCTTGTTATGAAAAGCTGTAGAGGCTATATGCAATGACCTTTAAGGACTATCTCCAGAGCCCGTTCTGCACAAAACCTGGCAATTGGTAGGCTCTGAAAAAAATATCGGAATGGAATGAATGTGGAATATGAGGCATTTTGTGAGCCAAGTCAAAGGGAAAAGGCCTGGAGCCGTCAGCTGCAAGGAAGTTATGGAGACGTGAAATGGAAAGAGCCAGGGAGTCATGAGGTGGGGGTCTACTTTGTGTTTTTGGTGCTACAAGTGAGTTGCTTTGGGTATTTGAAGTCTCACATGTTTGTGAAAGGGCAATACTCTTGAAGGGGGTAGATGTTGAGGGAGGAAATAGAAAACTCCTTACCCTTCTTAAATTCCTCCAGCACCGTGTCCAGCCGGGTATCATTGAAGACGCAGTGAAGGGGCCGGTTGTAGAAGCGGGTGACGGTGAGGAGTGGGGTGCAGTCGTCAGGGTCGACGAAGGCCAAGTCCTTGACAAACAGAATGTCCACGATGTTGTGCCGCTGGTCGCCTTCGTACACGGGGATGCGAGTGTAGCCACTGCGCAGGATCTCTGAGACCGTGGCAAAGTCGAGCACAGCGTCGGAGCGCAGCATGAAGCAATCTCCGAGGGGCGTCAGCACCTCCTCCACCACTTTGGTGCGAAGCTCCAGGGCGCCCTGGATAATGTTGAGCTCCTCTTTCACCAGGTCGCTGTAGGGGTCCGCGGCCCGCAGCGTCTCCAGCAGCTTCTCTCGCGTGTAGAAGGTGCTGATCTCCTGGCGCAGTGCCCAGTCCAGCAGGCGGCCCAGTGGATAGCACACGGGGAAGGCAGCCGCCATCAGAAGCCGGGTCAGGCACACGCTGTGCGAGGCAATGGCCAGCCCGTGCCGCGAACACACGGAATAGGGGCAGATCTCCGCGCCCAGGAACACCGCGCCAGTGCACACGAGCGCCGGCAGCCACGGGAAGTGAACCCCCGCCTCGCCGTAGTCTTCCCCGGGATCCCCGACGCCCGGCGGCAGCGAGGTGTAGAGCCAGCCGGCCAGGGCCGCGTTGGCTCCGGCTTGGCCCAAGAGCAGGGTGCAGAGCAGATGGGTCCCCCTGCCGCGCACGGCCTGCACGCGGCGCGCCTGCTCCTGCTCGGCGGCCGAGCCACTGTTCCGCAGCACCCGTAACTCCACCGGGTCCAGTGAGAGCAGGCTCAGGCGCAGGCCGCTGAACAGGGCAGACAAGGCGAGCAGCAGGAGCGCCCCGAGCGCCCGCAGCCACGCTGGAGGCAGCAGGCCCCCGCCGGGGCCGTACAGCCGCGGGCGGACGCGCAGCAGGAAGCCGCCGGCGGCGCCGTGATGGTGCCAGGCGCGCCCGTCCCAAGCGCACAGGGAGAAGAGCTTCCCGCCACCGCCCGAGCCGCCCTGCTCTGCCTCGCCCTTGCGCAGCTCCCGCACCCGCACCTGGACTAGAGCTGAGCCCGCCACGCCTCCCGGGCGCAGGGGCCCTAGGACCTCCACGTCCGACGCCCAGTCGCTCTGCTCTCGGCAGCGCTGCGACCCCGGGGGGCGCGTGGGGACAGCGCTGGGCGCCAAGCCGCTACCGCCTGGGGGCTCCTCAATAAACACAAGCCGCGGAGCCCAGTCGCCGGTGCCATTCACCCCCGGTGAAAGGGTGGGTGCGGGCACCGGCGCCGCGGGCGCCGCAGGCCCAGGCTGGAAATAGACGCGCAGGAGGAAGCTGGTGCCTTCCGCCGCGCGTAGGGTGCCCCCCTCCAGGGACACGCGGCCTCCAGCGGTGTCCTCGGGACGCAGGCCCAGCAGCCAGGCGGCGGCGGCCGGGGGCCGAGGGGACAGGGAGAAGAAGAGTAGGAGCACAGCACCCCGGCTGCAGCAGTCCCGGAGCCTGACACCCACAGTTGCTGCCGCCGCCGCCGCCATCCTGCACCCGGCGCGGCTGCACGTGATACTGCAGAAAGCAGAGCGAGAGCTGGAGGGAGGAGGAGCCGGGGCTGAGAACCGGCCCCAGGCAGGTCACCACGTGTACGCCCTCTGCGCGCGTGGGCTGGAGGCGGTGGGGGTTCAGACCCTGCCAGGGGAGGGGAACTCGGCAGGAGGCTTGGGATGGCCACGCATCACTGCATAACCCCCGACGTACTTAGGTGTGTGGGAGCTGCAGCCTAGGGGAAGCTTAGCTTGAGACACAGCCTCCTACTCCAGTACTAGGGCTCCTCTCAGCGAACTCCTACCCAGCGGTAATTCTCTGAAGGCCCAACCACATCCCCATTGGCCAGAGAAATTTCCCATCATTTTGCCTTTCTTCCTGCCTCTAGCGTTCCCTCTTCTGGTCAAAAGATATTCTGGAGGTAAGTCTTGAATCTGTGAAAACGTTGTGTTTGGCCTCAACTCCAGCTGACCTTTCATGTTCTAAAAATTTCTAAATTACTTAAATTCAATTCCTTGTTAAGACTCAAATGTCCACTGGTATGAATCTTGGAATAAATCGTGATACCACTGTGTGATGGAATACTATGCAGCAGGAAAAAGAATGACGCGGAACCATGTGTTTGTGATATGGAAAAATCTCCAAAGTAAAAGTTAGTTGAAACATAGCAAGATGCAGAACAATATGTATAATATGCTACTGTTTGTGTTAAAAGTATTTATATATAAACATATGTAAATATACACATATACATATATTAGATATTCAATTTAATAGGTAGAGGATATGAAAAAATTTTTAATAGTGTTTATCTCTTCAGAGCAGGACCAGAGTATGGAAGCTTGGGTGAGAGATACTTAAAAATACACACACACACACACACACACACACACACACACGGAAAGTTGCAAAGATAATAGAGATCCCAGAACCTTTTACTCAGTTTCCTGCAATGGTTACATCTTAACTATAGTATAATATCAAAAGCAGGAACTTAACATTGATATAAAGTATGTATATAGTTCTATGTCATTTTATTACATGTGTAGATTTATGTAACCATCATTGCAATCCAAATACAGAACTGTTACTCTATCACCACAAAGATTTGAGAGGGAGACTTTTTTACTGAATTCCTTGTATTGTTTGAATGTACCATGGACCTGTTACTTTATTTTTACTTTTATGCATTTATTTTAAAATTTTGTATAGTAAAATTCACTTTTTGGTGTACTATTCTATAAGTTTTGACAAATGCATATTCATGTAACCATTACAATCAAGAATATTGCCATTGGGGGGAAATGGGGAAAAATACTACTATCATCCCCCAATATTTCCTCTTACTGTCTCTTTGTGGTCAACTCCTCCTCTCATCTACTTCTCTGGCAACTGTTGAGTTATTCTATTCTTCCCTATAGTTTTCCATTTTCAGAAGGTTATATAAATGGAATAATACAATATGTAGCTTTTTGGATCTGGCTTCCCTTAGCATAATGCATTTGAGAGTCATCCTTTTTTTTTTTATTATCAATAGTTCATTCTTTTTATGGCTAGGTAGAGTCCCATCATATGGATGTACCACAGTTTGTTTATCTATTTACCAGTTAAAGAACATTTGAGTTATTTCCAATTTTGGCAATTACGAATAAAGCAGCCATAAATGTTCACGTGTAGGTTTTTGTGTGAGCACACATTTTCATTTCTTAAATTACCATAGGCCTGTATTACTTTTTAAAACATAAAAGTAACAATAATTTGGCATACTGCTCTTAGCACCTCCGACCAATTTAAAAAATCATTGCTGTGTGTGAAATTTTATTTTCCATATAATGTGTGAGATCCCAAAAGTATTGATTGAGAAAGCCTTGCAAAGGATAAAGCTTAATACTAATGGTTCCATTTTTTTTTTTTTTCTAAATAACAAACTCTAATCATTTAGGGTGGAAATAGCCCTCTTCTGGTGTGAGACTAGACAGGCCTTAATAGGCAGCTGGTCACGTGCCTACACAGGCTGCCTTTTCACTTTGGCAATTTAAAACAAACCTGCCATTGCCTTAAAATACATTAGATTTTGTCCATTACAAGCTACCTCTTGCATGGGCTGCTTAAAAGAAAGACAGAAGATTTAATCTGAAGAGCAAACATTAATGCATTTATTGGAAGTATAGAGGAAAAGGAGAAGTATTGTCAGAGGTGTGATTATTTCTCTTAAGTGCTGGCAAAAAAATCTTTCACATTTCCCCTGACATTTAGATCCGCTCCCAGCCTAAAGTTCCTCAGCGCAAAGGAACCCATTGTCCTAAGGGTTCTCCTATCTCTTTTAGGCCACAGGACTTTATTATTCTAATACCTTTATCAAGCTTTAGAGTTAGAAAGGAATTTCATATTTATTACTTCATTCATACAATAGCCTTATGAAGTAGATATAATTATCCCCATTTTACAGATCAGGTTAAATGATGGGTCAAACTTCTTTGGACTCTCGGTTGATGCTATTTCACTTGAGTGCTGACCAGAACCAAAAATAAAAGCTTTCGAAAATATTAGATCAGGAATTTAAAACCTAAATTCTGATTATAAAGTATTACATGCTCCTTGAAGATAAAATATTAATGCAGAAAAGCACAAGTAAAAATAAACTAAAACACCACCGACCTGAGATAAACGCTGTTACTATTATGGCATACTTCTTTTTAAATTTTCTACATAGATAAATAACTGAGAAGTACAAACACACACACATGCATATATGCTTTCATTTATTTGTATCTTTTATAATTAAATGCATATATATATATAAAATTCTAGTTTGCTTTTGTCACTTGACATATCAAGAGTGTTCTCCCCAATTTAATAAAAATTCCTTCGTAATCATAATTTTAAATGAATGATACTATTACATTATTGGATATATATATTATTGAGTGAGAGCAAGAACTGTAAGAATGATTCTACTTCCAGTTGCACTACCTCTATTATTAGCAAGTGTTAGGCTTAGGAAAGTCAATCCACTTTTCTTGGGCCCATTTTCTCATCTGTCAAATGAGATAATTTTAAAATCTCTACTCTTTCTGAGTCAGTGGGTAAGGGCTAATGTACACTCGGTGAAAATAATCTAAAGAGACAATACTTTTCCTTTATTGAACAGGAGGTTCTGGAAAAGTACTGGGTTTCCAGAATTCTACTATAACTGAAAGGATTCCTGAAAACAGGTGCAGACAGTGTAATTCTAGTAAAGAAGAGCTGCCAAAAATAGATTCCCAGAATATGAATGTTGACTTTTTTCTAGCTTGCAAAATGGGCAACTCCTCACTTCTCAGACAGATGGAAGAAATGATACTTGCCTCTAATGTCATGACTATGCTATTTCAGAATGTATATGTTAAAATGTTTGTTTCATTACTTGTTCATTGATTAAACAAATATTTGTTAGTCAACAAAGTGCCAGGCTCTGTGCTAGATATTGGGCATAGACACAAACCATCCTTTCCTTCATGGCACTTAGATTATACGTAGGATGACAGAGATGAACCAGATATTGCTTACCTACCTAATTAATTAATTACTCCTATGAAGGAGGTGTTCAAAGTGCCATGCATCTAGAGAGGAAGATCTGGGAAGACTATACTCAAAAATATAATTGAAAGAAAATGGAAGAACTGTTACATTAGGAAGAAGATGAAAAAATGTAATATTTTGTGCCTTTTATTCCTTTTTGTACTACTTTTAAAACTATGCCAATGTATTAATAATATTCCTAATTGTATAATCTGTTAACATTTATTGAGTGCTTCTATATGCCAAGTACATTATCCCTTTTAATCATCACAATAGATGAGAAAACTGAGGTTCTGCTTCGGTAACTTTGTGAAAGTCACATCATTAATGGGCAGTGGAGCCTGGTTAGATACAGTCTGAGTCCAGAGATTTCAGTTTAAAAAGTTAGGAAAATAATAATACCTGGTAACCTTTATTTAAGGTTTACTATATACCAGGCATAAATTAACTTAATTCTTATAAGAACCTTTAGAAGTAGGTATTATTATTATTCTCATTTTACATGAGGAAGCTAAGCTACAGAGAGATTAGGTATTTTGGTGACCAAGATTATGCAACTGGTGGCAGAAGCATTGCCACTACACTATACTACACTATAGCTATCTGTCAGTACTTTTGCCCATACATGGCCATATATGGCTCTACATAGTTGCACTTCTAACATTTCTATAATACTCTGTTTCATTTCTCATTATAGTATATTTTCCCTCATTAAAACTATTTATAAAGAATTTTTCCTTTCTTCTCCTTACCTTCTGTTATTATTGTTGTTTGTTGTTTTTACCACAGGCACAGAGGATTGAGTTAATCATCTTCCTTACTTCATGGCCAAAGAAAAGGCCTCTTCCCCATCCTAATCCCCAGTCCCATCCCCTCCCCATTCAGGCAGCCACTCCAATGTTCTGATATGTCCTTAAACATCTGAGTATCCTTGTAAAATATATGATTTTGGTTTATGTGTTTTTGTTATCGAGATATGAGTCACATACCATAAAATTTGCCCTTTTGAACTATACAATTCAGTGATTTTTAGTATATTAATAAGTTGTGCAATTATTATCACTGTTTAATTCCAGAATATTTTCATCACCCCCAAAGGAAAGCCTGTATCCATTAGCGGTCATTCCCTATCACCTGCCCTGGCCTCTGGCAACCGTGATATACTTTCTGTCTGTGTATATGCTTTTAATTTTCATAAAATATGCTGTAGAACTTGTTCAGTTTCTTACATTTTCACTCAACACTAAAATCTGTCCATGTTGATGAATGTACACTTGATTTGATATTTCTAAATGCTGGGTGGTCTTCCACAGCACATAGCCACAACATTATTTTCACCTATTCCCTTAGAGATGGACACTTAGATTACCATCAGCATCCCACTACCTCAGAGCCATAGTGAAATCCTTGACTAGTCCCTACTGGACCTGTGGGGGATTCCTCTGGGATGTACCCACTG